GGGCTGTATTTCTGGAGAACTAGAAGGTAATGGAGGAAGGGGGGGGGGGGGTAATTATTTTTCCATAACACTGCGCTGCGGTTTATGTTTGTATTAAGTCATTCCCAATTGGTAAAAAAATTTTGAGCAAACAATTCCCAGTAATGGGTCGTAGCAGAGGTCCAAATGAGAGAAAATTTCCCTCTCTCATACCTGCGTCATCTGTCTCCTCCCTCTCTCTCTCAGTGTACCGAGTGATGACCTGGGCGATGAGCTGCCTCGCTGTAGAGTGAATGTTTGCCAGCAGGGAGCGATAGTTGGCCCCACTGGAGAGGGCATCCCCATAGATCTTGATCAGGCCCGGGGCAGTGGAAGAGGCAGGGGGCAAGTAGTGGTGTGAGGAAGGGGCAGCTGAATGAGCCCAAACCTCTCTCTCCCTCTCCCCCACCGCCCGGTCCCGGTCACTGTTCGAGCGCCCTCGTAGGAAGAGATGGGAAAGGCGCTTTGTGCGGGACTGGGGCCCAGCAGGCCGCGGCCTGAGGAAGGCCGGGGAAGGAGATGGGGATGGGGTAGGGGAAGCCAGCGATGGGGTGGAGTTAGAAAGGGAAGAGGAAGGGGCAGAGGGGGCCTCGTGGAGGGAGGCTGCGTCAGAGCTGGTGGTCGACCTGGGAACAACAGAGGAGGGGAAGACAGATGGAGGAGAGAGGAAGGAGAAAGGAAGGGACCAGTCAGCTGTGAATTATGACTGACTAAACACAGACAAACAACAAGGACTAAAATAAAACAGGGAAAGGTTACAGAGTTGGAAGGATACTAATGACAGTGGAAGTAAGATAAGATGACATCAAAACATAAACTGTTCATTCAACAACACTGAATTCTAACTAAACAATAATGGCATTAAGGTTGCATAACCTGAGAACAAATATGACATAGAAGCAAAACAGGAGATAAAAAAGTGAGTTTAAGAGACTAACTTGACAGAGATAGCGCTGGGCCAGCGACCACCTAGCTTGGCAAAGTGTTTCCTGGGCGAGTTGATCCAAAGACCCACTGGGAAATGGAGCTTTCTGAAACGAGGACTGCCAGACCCCTCCATCTGACAGAGGGAGACAGAAAGACATGCTGATCTGTTTTTTTTTTTTAAATGTGGCTTTTCAATCCAATAGTTTGCAGTATGTCAGGATACTGTAATCTGCTCAATCTACCTCTACACTGTAGCGAGGAATGTGTGTCAGCAATGCCAGACGTGAAACAATATAACAATGGCATGATGTCACCATCAAAAAAAATATCAACAGGATACCTACAGCAGGTTGTCAACATGGGGAAAACAAACAAAAAGAAATTAACTCAAATCACCCCAATCAGCCCCTGAGAATCATAGCGTGAATTTCCCATTCTCAAACAGGAAGCATCTTTTGTAGGATTCAGGACCAGCTGTTGCACTGACAGGGAAATACCCGCTCCAAAGGTCACAGTCTGTCCATTTCTGTGTGCTACTTCTATGATAATTACCATCAGAATTAAGGATCACACTTGCTTTTGTTCTCCCCTCACAGGAGGAATGTTTAGGCCAAAACACAATCACTGCATTTCCTCTGGAAAACTACCATGTTTGGAAGTAGGATTTCTGACAAGACTACCAATCTTGTCATATCTTGTACATGTGTGTCCACACCTTAAAACGGCTGTTGTCCTTCTAGACAGAAAAGACGGCAGTTTTTAACACGCATCCTGTCCTAGATGTTGTGGTGGAATATTTTAAAAACCACAGAATCAAAATGGTAAACGAAAGATATTCAAATGCTTTTAGGTATCAGATTAAAAAAAACACTCACCCACTGTTACTTGTGATCCTTCTATAGTGTGTTATGATGATTCTTCGCCACCAAAATGCAAATACGCAGCTCAGAGTAATCTAATAACCCCGTATGTTTCCTTTTCCCTGCGATTAAATTCCATTTTCAAAAGGCCTAAACTTGTCACACATCTACATACACATCTCTAATTCTTAATATCCATTGGTTCTATATTCTTTTAACTAAAATATATTTTCTTATAACTGGACAAGATCTGCTCCCTCTCTCCCTCTGGCTCTCAGCCTCTCTGGGTCTATAGATAGAGAAACAGGCCCATTGTTCTAAGTGACAGAATTTCCTTCCTTTCCTCTGGACAACACCTATATCCTGACTGAGAGAGAGAGAGAAAGAGAGAGATTGGTAGAAAGCGAGAGACGGGTGAATTTACACTTACACATATGAGTCTTTGAGAGCTTGTCGGGAATATTATATATGATATTTTTCACCACAAACGAGTCTGGACATAAATATTTTTCTCTGTCTGGATTAAACAGAAATGTGGTGTCACTGTTTCGTCCTAATAAAGTTTAATTACATCCAACAGGGTTTCAAAGCCGCAACAGATTTTCCAAAATGTGGCCATTTCAACCCGGTACGCGTTGTGATTTTTAGGATTAAAACAGATATCGCGACGCATCGCAAAACACACAGCAGGCCGAGTTTTAAGTTTTGCTGGAAAGAGGATGAGGGGATTACACACACTGTGACACAGGAAGCTAGAGGGAGCAACAAAGACACCTGTGATCTTTGACCTCGTCTTCAACAGGAAGATGGAGAAAGAGAAAGGGGACTGTCACTGTGTCCCAGTTCAGGGGCTAGATCCTCCGAAATCGAGATTTGTAGACTGAATACGTCACAACGGGTCAATAATCCTCGTCCCATTTCAAAGGCTACTCCACTTTTCACTGAGGGAGAAGAGAACAGAATACTTCAATTCAAACAACAAGCACTGTACTGTAACATTAGTCTGATATTATTATTAGTCGGCATTGTCGGCATCATATTGATTCAACAAACCAAGTCTAACTGTAATTAGCTTCCTTGTCAGTCTTATTTTTGAGCAATTCATCATCCAGTGCCAATAAACTGGTGTGTTATGGCTTCAATTACATGTGGAACAAGCAAATGCAGAATATAGGCTTACTGACTGATGTTGTCAAACATTAAAAATAAATGTTTGAGCAAAGGAATTTAAAAAGGAATACTGAAAACATCAGACTTCAACTGGTTACATCATACATTTTCCTATATTTTCTTTTCATCAATGACCTGAGTCAAAAATCTGAATCTGATTTCTTACACAGCAGTTGATCAAGAAATCAAGAAAGACTTTGACTTCTCGAGAACTTTACATATTTTGACTGGAAATAGCCCAGACAATTAGTTATTCTAAAACTAAACTTGAGCTCTCTTTGTTATGCAAAACAGAAGCAGTGTATAGATTGACAAATAAGATTAATAGATGAATAAAGCAATTGTGTTGATTTGAAACATTGCTAGGCATATTTTCTTTACTCTTTAAAACCTTGTGATTGATTCGTCTGCGGATGTGTACTTAGTATTGACAATTATGTCAGCCACCTCTCAAGCCTACAAATCTGTTTCATGTTAAAGGAAGTATTGATCTTAACTTAAAGTCAGTCAGTGAGGTGAGGTCATCTTTGCATCCAAGATTAAGTAACCTAATATAATATTTCACTACTTTACTTTATTACATTAACAATGACTGATTACCTGGTCTGTCTCGCCTGTCAATACTGCTACTCGTAAAGCCACCAACATATTGGAGCATTGAGTGGATCCCTCCAACCTCTGAGGTGAGGAATATCAATAAGGCAACACTGTTTATTTAACTGTAATCTGTCTATTGTGTCTCAGTTGCATTATATTTGTAAGATGGACTGATTTCTCTATTACAGGAGCCTCCAGTGGGATAGGCTTACCTCCTTTCTGTGCAATGTTACACTTAAGTGTCAGACACAACATGGGGGATGCTCAGTGGCAACCACATGTCACCTGAAGAGAGATGCGAATTTCTCCTCTGAGTCAAGTGGAGTTGTTGTTTGCACTTCTTGCAAGATATTTGGTCTTGCTCTGATTGTCCCCCTGCTGCAACAACAGTAACGATCATTTCCACACAGATATACCGTTAGAAGAGAAGACAGGCTTGTGGTCATTATTGCAGTCGTTTTAGCTCAATAAAAAAAAAAAAAAAAAACAGGTTTTGGGAACATGAAAACTAAATTTAGCTACAGGATGTCTGCTGTTCAGGCTTTCCCACCACACGTGATATCCCAGCCTCCTTTGCGCCGTTGTTTCCGGAGAGGACACATCGAGAAGCGTCCCAAGGTTAGCTGTCGGTAACTCCTCAATGTCGAGCTGTTTAACGCACTTTAAGACTATCTTCATTTGCCTTTCTGATGTTTGGACCTACAAAAACTGTCGGGGCAACTCGGCGTTCTCAAACACGTCCGCTAACAGATCAGATCCAGATATGTTAACTAAGTTAGCAACGAGCTAACAGCGAGCATTAGCTATGTAAACTGTGCTTACGTGTATTTAAAGTCGTGTAACGCTTCTTAATATTTGTTT